ATGTGCCATGGGATGAGGAGGGACGAGAGAACGAGCAAGAGAGAGAGAGAGAGGAGAAGGAGGAGGAGGAGGAGGAGGAGGAGGAGGAGGAGGAGGAGGAGGAGGAGAAAGAGGAGAAAGAGGAGGAGAAGGAGGAGGAGGAGGAGGAGGAGGAGGAGTAGGAGTAGGAGTCAAGCTAGCCAGCTCGAGCGAGTCAAGCATGGCATGCCCAGTCCCACCCGCCCTCCCACAACATAAGAAGCAAAGCTGGCACAACTGGGGGCCGAAGTCACACCGGCCAGCCGGTTTGGTACAGCTGATGCGGCCGCGATGGCGGTTGCCGACGGGAACTGGCGAGCGCGTGTTGAATGCCGCGCACGCATTGCCAGACGAGTCGAGAATGGCCCGGTACACCGCAGGAAGCCTGAAGGCCCCAACTTGTACTGTTTTTTTAGAAAGGGGGGGTTTGGATGGGCGGGCGCGGGGTGTGCGCCGCATCCCATTCCTGCCAAGCATTTTGCGACGTGGACGACAGGACGTCCATGCTGAGAGGAAAAACGTTGGTGCGCGGCGCCGAGGCGAGAGCGACATGTCACCCCTTCGCGCGGGGTGTGCACCGCGTCCCACTCCTGCCACGCATTTTGCGACGTGACGACAGCACGACCATGTTGACAAGAAAAACAAAAACTGTGTATTGTCTTTTGCAGATTAGAATGGGACGGATTGGATGGGCGGGCGCGGGGTGTGCGCCGCGTCCCATTCCTGCCATGCATTTTGCGACGTGGACGACAGGACGTCCATGCGACGGTGCCAATGACGGCGACGACTCTAGAAGGATTTGAGCATGCGCTCGCGGCGACGCGCGCGCATGTCGCCCGCGTGGTATTTTTTGCACAGGATTCGCGGCCTGGGTGCATGACAGAGCATCGCGAGTGCACCGCGCGATGACGTGAAATCGCTGGATTTGACAGAATTCTTAAGATTCCTATGGTTTTCCTATGATTTCAGCAAGAGAGCCCGGGCAGGAAATTTGTAGAATTTTTGTGAAAAAAGCATTGGGTTTTTGATGTTTTTATGTTGAAATGCTTGCAAACACACGGTGTTCGGTAGGATTCTGACATGAACGCGCGCGTGTGCTCTTTGTGGTATTTTTTGCAATGGATTATCGCCGTGGACGACAGGACGTCCATGTCGAGAGGAAAAAATAAGAAAAATGTTGATTTTGTATTGTTTTTTACAGGTTAGGATGGGACCACCCGGATGCGGCCCCTATCGGCCGGCCTGAGGGGGGAGTAGGAGTATATTCTAATAAGGAATAAGGATAGGAGGAGGAGGAGGAGGGGAGGAGGAGGAGGAGGAGGAGGAGGAGGAGGAGGGAGGAGGAGGAGGAGGAGGAGGAGGAGGAGGAGGAGGAGGGAGAGATGGCGGCCGGCTCGGCGCCTGCAGCGCGGCGGCGTGCAGGCGTCGCAGGCCGTCGGGGCTGAAGTTGGACAGCTTGCGCACGGCCTCCTGGAGCAGGTCGCGGACCACCTCGGGGGAGGGGCGCCGGCGGCGGGGGGGGTGCGCGGGGGCGCCCTCGCCCCTCGCACTCGCCCTGCTCCCTGCGCAGTCTGCGCCCGCCCCCCCCCCCCTCGCCCCTCTCCGCCCTCTCTCTCTCGCTCCCGCTCCGCTGCCCCCCTCCCCACACCCCTCCCTGGTGGGGCTTCGGGCTGCGCGCAGACAGCCCTTCCACCCCAGGTGGTCCTGGCTGGTCTCTGCAGGGCTTCATCGAATACTCCCAGCTGGCCCCCACAGGCTCCTCAAGTAGTCCAGGGCGGTCTCAAGCCTGGGGCGCGGAGCGTCCCAAAGCGGCGCCAGAGGCGGCGCCAGGGTGTTGAGACCGCACGAAGACTACTCGGGGGGCCTGTAGAGGCCAGCTGGCTCTACTCGTGGTGCGTGTTAAGGCCAGCTGGGACTACCTGAGGGATCTCTGTCCCCAACCCGGAGCGGGACCGATCGCAGAGGACATCCGAGAGCAACCTGTGCTGCATACGCGGGAAGACCATGAAGCGAGATAGACAGGACCTTGAGGGTACCCTCGAATCTGGAAGGCCGACCTACTAATCAGACCCAGCAGCAACGACAAATGATTACGACGAGGACAGCTGGGGAGTAAAGAGGGGAATGGGCCGCCGAGGCCAGCGTCGGTGGCCACTACGGCGAAAACGGCGACGGCAGCGAGGAGGAGAGGAGGAGGAGGAGGAAGAAGAGGAGGAGGACGAACACAACATAAAAAACATAACCGGCACTAAGAAGGCCCACGAATCCGAATCGAGAGAATGGGAGCGAGGAGTAGCGAGGAGGAGGAGGAAGGAAGGAGGAGGAGGAGGAGGAGGAGGAGGAGGAAGGAGGAGGAGGAGGAGGAGGAGGAAGGCCCACGAAGCAAGCGAATGGGAGCGAGGAGCAGCGAGGAGCAGCGAGGAGAGCGCCCGCCCCAGCGGCGGCAAACCCCCCGCCGCCCCGCCTCCGCGTGCGCTCCCACGCCGCCGCCGGGCGCCTCGCGCTCGGCCAGCTGCGCGTAGACCTCGCAGCAGTCCACCAGCTGCTCGGCGGAGAGCCCCTCGGCGCGACGACCGCGGCGGCGGCGGCGGCGGCCACGGCGGCGGCGGCGGCGCCGGAGCGACGACGGGAACAGCGACGCTGGCTGCGGCGGAGGCGAGGCGGTGACGGCGGCGGCGGCGGCCGCGGTGGGCACAAGCGACGTCGGCGCCGTGCTGCCCCTGCTGCTCCAGACTGCTCCTCCAGCCATCCGGCCTCGCCCAGGCGCCCGCGGTCCGGAACTTTTTGCTCCAAGCTCTGCGGAGGCGGCCGCCCCAGACACGCTATATTCCGTGCAGGCCGATGGCATGTCGCTCTGCTTCGTGGGGCGGGAGGCTGGAAAAAGCCAGAAACGCTGATGGGGACTGGGACGTGCGTAGTACAGTCGGGGCGTTGACCTAAGGAACCCTAAATAATGAACGAGGGCCCTGTTTTCCATAAGTTAAACTTCGATTTCCGATCGAAAACAAAAGGAAAACCTGAGGCAAGCTGTGAAACACTTAAGGAACACTTAAGGGTTCCTTCTTCAGGGCCCCGACTGTATGTCGCGACGAAGCGTCGTGGGCTAGAGCCGGCGGAGCGACACGCGAAGCGAACGTTCCTGACCGTAAGGTTCCTCGCGGCCAGGAGTCAGCAGGCACGGCACGTGCTGCACCCCCCGAGCAGTCATCGGATCGGTCATCGATCCCGCCTCAGCGGTGCGCGTGCTCTCTTCATGCTTGTTTGTCGACCTGTCTCTCTCTCTCTCTCTCGCTCTCTCTCTCTCTCTCTTTCTCTTCTACTCTTCCCCGATTCGCTTCCAACTTCCATGCAGTCATGCAGCTTCCTTTCCCGCAGGGGAGGAGGAGGAGGAGGGGGAGGAGAAGGAAGACGGAAGAGGAGGAGGAATGAGGAAGAGGAGGAAGGGAAGAGGAGGAGGAGGAGGAGGAGGAGGAGGAGGAGGAGGAGGAGGAGGAGGAGGAGGAGGAGGAAGGGAGGAGGAGGAGGAGCAGGGCGGAGCAGGGAGAGGAGGAGCAGGGAGAGCGGGAGGAGGGGGAGGGGGAGGCAAGCTAGGCGCGCTCGCGTCATATCTGACGTCCTACCCCTCCCTCCCATCCCTTACCATGGCGTAGATCTCCGCTCTATTCGCACAATCGGATGTCGTAGCATGGCATAGCATTACATGGCATAACATGGTGTCGAAGATCAACGCGTGGCATGACATAGCATGGTGTGGCGACGCCCCGAGGTGGGTCTGCGGCCCAACAGATCAACGAGTCGACACCAAATGTGGAATCCATTCCGATGGTTTCTTCGGGAGGCGATGTTTTGGATGTTGGGGCCTCTTTGGAAGGACCGACAGCCATGCCGGGGCATGGTGCTCAAAATAATAACGCTAGCGCTGCAGCGGGAGCACGATTCGGAAAGAGCGGAAGCGCGGAAATGAGGCCAGCGCTGCAGCGGGAGCACGATTCGGAACGAGGGGTAGTCCGAAAATGAGGCCAGCGCTTCAGCGAGAGCAGCATTTTGAAAAAACAAGCGGGGAAGCGCGGAAATGAGGACGCGTAGCCTGACATAGCATGGCGTGAGGACGCCCCAAAGTGGGGGGGTCTTCTGCGGCCCAAGAAAGCAAAGAATCGGCACCGAATATGTAATCACTTCCGTTGGTTTATTCGGGGGCCCAGGTTCTCGAGTTTGGGGCCTGTTTGGACGAGCCGACAATAATGCCGTGGCATGGCGCTGGAAATAATGACGCCAACGCTGCAGCGGGGGCACGATTCGGAACGAGCGGAAGCGCGGAAATGAGGCCAGCGCTGCAGCGGGAGCACGATTCGGAACGAGCTGTAGCCCGAGAATCAGGCCAGCGCTTCAGCAAGAGCAGCATTTTGAAAACAAGCCTAAGCGAAAACCCAATTAACGGGAATACTGTGTGTAAAAAACCATACGCGGAGGGGGGCCAGACATGCCCTGGACGCCACCAGGGGAGAGAGGAGAGTAGCATTCTGATTGTGTAGTTGTGAAGGAGAGGGAGGAGGAGGGCGGGGAGGAGGTGGAGGTGGAGGAGGTGGAGGAGGGAGGGGAAGGAGGAGTAGGAAGGAGGAGGAAACAGGAATGAGAAGGAGGATGCAGGGCGGAGGGGGAGGCGGGAGGACGAGAGGAGAGAAGGACAGGCACATAGACCCACTCGGGCTCCTCCTTCTCGTGGTCCTCCTCCTCCTCCTCCTCCTCCTCCTCCTCCTCCTCCTCCTCCTCCTCCTGCTTGCCCCTGCCTGCGAGCTGGAGCGCAGCACCGGGGCCGCGGCGGCAACGAGCTCCAACTCCTGGGGCGACAGCGGAGGGCGCCCCAGATCTTTCACGTCGCCCGCCGCCCTGCTTGCTCCCTTCCCCCTGCTGCTGCTGCTCCTCCACTGTCTCCTCCTTCCCCAGGCTGGCGGCGCGCACAAGAAAGGGGGAGGGAAGTGGGAAGGCTTCTTAGGAGGGGGCTGCTCCTTCGAAGGCGCCGGCCTTGCATCCCCAAGTTGGGTCCGCGCCTTCTGAGACGCAGGGGTGCTTCGAAGAGGCCCTCTCCCCTTCCCCCACCCCCCTCTCCGCATGTCTGACCAGACTTGCAGCGTCCTGGACAAGAGCCGCACGGATGCTTGTTCGCCGGTTCCCCCCTTGTGGCGTGACTCTCCCGGAGGCCCCACACGGGATCCCGAGGGGCCGCCAGAGGCCCCCAAGAGATTCCGAGGCCTCCCAGCAGATCCTCGCAGGCATCCGATAGGCCTCTGATCGACAATCGAGGCACGGTGGCGGAAGGGGCCGAAGACAAGTATCCGCCGCCCCCTGCTTGCAGGGGTGCACGGCGTGCTGGATGATTCAGGTTTTGGTTTTGGTTCTTTTTCTAAAAGAACCCCCAGTGGGCTTCGGCCCGTCCCGCCGGCCACCCGTAAATCTCATAAAACCCATCTGTCAATGCCCAAAAACGGCCGTTTCGCTCGGGACATCCTCAAAAAATCGCGAAGATGGCCCAAGATGGCCTCCAAGTCCGCCCGAGATGGTCCAAGACGGCCTCCAAAACGGCCCAAGAGAGTCCAAGACGGCCCAAGACGGCCCAAGAGGCCCCCCAGAGGCCTCCCAGACGGCCCAAGAGGCCTCCAAGAGGTCCTCCAGGAGAGTCCGAAGAGGCCAAAATCATTGATTTTCCCTTGGTTTTTGAAGGATTTTGGCATTTGCGCCTTTTCGGCTCTCCGACGGCTCAAGACGGCCCAAGAAGCCCCCAAGATCGCCCAAGAGGCCCCCAAGAGAGCCCCATGATGGCCCAAGTGGCCTCCAAGATGGCCCCTAGAGGGCCCCAAGAGGGCCCAAGAGGCCTCCAACACGCCCAAGATGGCCTCCCAGACGCCCAAGATGGCCTCCAAGACGGCCCTGGAGCATTCCAAGCGGGCCCCAAGTCGGCCCATAGAGGCCCCCCAAACGGCTTCCGACGGCTTCAGACGTGCCAGGAACCCACCAAGATGGCCGAAGTTGGCTCGAAGCTGGCCCGAGACGGCCCAAAAAGCCCCAAAGATCGCCCAAAGCTTGCCCAAGAGGCCTCCAAGACGGCCAAGATGACCTTCAAGATGCCCACGTGTTCCCCGAAGGCTTTCCAAACCGATTCGGGGAACACGTGGTCCGATAGCTTGGCAGGTCTGGCCTCAACGTTCGGCCACATAGGCGCTTCCAAAAAGGCAGGGGGCGGCGGTGATTCGCCGTAGGCGTCTTCGATATGTAACTGCGGGAACATGTAATTGTTCATATTACGCAAGGCGTGCGCACTACAATACAGCATAAGCACGTGGGTATACGTGTATGAAGCCCCCCGCAATCATCCTCGATGAGAGTGAGGGTGCGCGCTGGCCTGCATCAGAGAGGAAGAACGCGATCTCTCGCTGAGGATCCCTCGCGCAGGACCCCTCCGCCACGGGGCAACCGATTCACACACGGTCACGAACACGCAGGGGTGAAACGAACCGTTCGGACACCCTCACCGCTCAGACCCCGATCGTGGCCCCCGGGTGGTGACCCCCCCAGCGCAGCTCCCCGTCGCGGCCCCCCATCGCGACTGCGTGAAGCTGCTCAGGGCCTTGCGCCGCCAAGGCCTCAGACTCGTTGCCAACATGTCGCGGGGAATCCAGCCGTGGCCAACAGGAGCCTTGCAGAGGCCCACGACGGGGCGAACAACCCTCGAAAACCTCTGTCCTCCTCCCAGGCGGCGGCGAGGACCCCCCCGCAGAGGACGAGGACGGCGACGACGAGGGCGACGGCAACGACGCCGCCGGCCGCCGCACTGGCCGCTGCTCTGGCCGCCGCGCCGCTGGCTGCGCCGCGCGCTCGCTTCGAAGCCGCTCTCGGAGTTGAGCAGGGACCGACCGTCCTGGCATTCCTACATGCCTACCACGACACGTTCTTAGAACAGAAGAATGTTCTAAAACCAAAAACACTTAGCTGCCCCGATACGCAACACGCAACACGTAGCGTACTGCTGCGGAGCTCAACACGTAGACTGAAAACGTAGGTCTGCCACGATCCGTTCGCCAAAACGTGGGACAATACGCTGAGTCAACACGCGGTGTCAACACAGATGTTTTGAGCACGGTACGTTTCGCGTATCAAAACTGGCGTATCGAGGCAGCTAAGGCCAGGGTACACTCCTTCCCTCTCGACAACACGGCGCTGGGTATGATGGGGGGGCAGATGGAGGGCCAATACGCAACGAATTGATACGGAGCGCTGATTGAGGACCAATCCGCAGATGAAGGGCCAATGCGCCAGATGGAGAGCCAACACGTAGCGTATTGATACGGAGCTCAACACGTGGACTGAAAACGTAGGTCTGCCGCGATCCGTTCGCCAAAACGTGGGCCAATACGTTGAGCCAACACGCAACGCATTGACACGGACGTTTTGAGCGCGGTACGTGTTGCGTTTCAAAACTGGCGAATCGAGGCAGCTATGCCAAGACACTGTTTTTTCATAACAGAAGCCCGCTGTGCACGACGATCTCGGCCGGAACTGTTATAAGAACATCCGCGCAGACCGCAGAAGGGTCTTAGAACTCTCCCTGGTGCACCTGTAGGCAAGCCAAGACTTGGGCGCCCGAGTTATCCGGGGTAACTCGGGTCCGGGGTAACTCGGGTTTGGATCACCGCAAAAACGAACCCGAGTTGGCCCTGACCCGAGCTACCCCTGATGATTTGGGGCCCTGGACGCCCGAATTACCCGGGGTAACTCGGGCCCGGGGTGCCTCGGGTTCGGAATCCCGCAAAAACGAACCCGAGTTAGCCCTGACCCGAGCTACCCCTGATGATTCGGGGCTCTGACAAGACGCTTCGCCGCTGCTCTGTCTTCGAGGCCGCTCTCGGAGAGCTCACAGGAACCCGCGCAGGCCGGCGGCGCGCCGCCGCCGCGGCCCGGCGGCCGCTGCCCCAGCGCGCCCCGCCGCCGCGCGGCGGGTGCCGCCGCCGGGCAGCAGCGATGGGGGCGGCCCTGCCGCCGCGGGGAGGGGGGGGCCGCGGGAGGAGGAGCACGGCACGGCGGCAGGTACCGTCGGGGCCCTGAAGAAGGAACCCTTTTCGTTGGGGAGGGGCTCCGCGTTCCTTAAGTGTTTCGCAGCTTGCCTCAGGTTTTCCTGGTGTTTTCGCCGGGAAATCGAAGTTTAACTTATGGAAAGAAGGGGCCTCGTTCCTTATTTAGGGTTCCTCAGGTCAACGCCCCGACTGTAAGTACGTGTCGCGGCGAGTGCGGCAGTGGTTCCCGACGCCGCGTGGAGCGTGCAGCCCTGGGGCGGCCCTGCCGCTGGGGCAGGGCGGCGAGAGGTATACATGGCCAGCGGCAACATATGAACGGGTCTCGTCGTCCCATGGGGGGTGGGCCCGGGAGGAAGATGAGATGGGCCCGGGGGGGGGGGGGGGGGGGAGGGGAGGAGGCGTACGGTCACGAGCGGGGAGCGTATCAGGACGGGAGCACTGCTGGAGTACGCGAGCACCGTTGGAGCACTACGAGCTACGAGGCCGTGCAGCTATAGATTGAGGGCCTCGAGGCCCCCAGGTCCGAGGATTTTTGCTGTTGGAGGTGGGAGCGCCTCCACGGCGGCAGGGTGGAGGGATATCGGGCCGCAGGAGGAGGCGGAGCGAGGAGGAGGGGGGGAGGAGCGAGGAGAGGGACGGGCGGGCGTGGGGCGGCAAGAGGAGGGGGGGAGGAGGAGCAGGGGGAGGAGGAGGAGCAGGGGGAGGGGGGGAGGGGGCGGGAGGGGGGGAGGAGGAGGAGGAGCAGGGGAAGGAGGGAGCAGGAGGAGGGGGGGGGGCAGGAGGATGCGGGGGAGGAGGCGGGGAGGGGGGAGGGCGGTGAAGGGGGGAGGAGGACGGGGAGGGGGACAACGGACAAAAAAGCTGGGGCTGAGGAAGGAGCAGGGCGGGGTGGGAAAGAGCACGCATGAGATGCGGGAGGGCGTAGCGAAGAGGCGGGGAGGAAGAGGTGGAGGAGGACAGAGGAGGAGGAGGGAGAGCGGGAGGAGGCAAGCCAAGTGCGCTCGCGCCACATTTGACATCAGCCCCCCTCCCGCCCATCCCTTCCCATCGCGCTGATTTGTCTTCATCCGCCGACGGGTGCCACATCGGACATGGAAACCCAAAGTCACCCCACCGTGCTGTTATGCGCACTGTGCCAAACTTTGGTCCCGAAGCGTCCCTCGGCTGCCCCGACCGCATCTTGGCTCCAAGTCGCCGCGACGGAACAGGTATCATGCACAACCAGAAAGGGGGAACTGTGTACATTGGAGGAGGTGGCGGGTGGACATGATGAAGGACGGGTGAGGAAGAGGAAGCAGGAGGCGTAGGACGAGCAGCAAGGGCAGGAGTAGGAAGAGCGGGAGGAGCAGGAGGAGCAGGGGAAAGCGGGGGGGGGGCACCAACGACGAGGCAGGACTTGGATCCAGCACCGTGGCCCGCGCGGAACCGGCGAAGGGGCAGGAGGAACAGGCGGACCGCGACGGGAGGGGAGGGCGGAAGGACTGACACGAGGGGCGAGGAACATGAGGAGGCGACGGGGCCTGGCGGCGGCACCGGCATACAATCGGCGAAGATGTTGAGCGTGGATGGCGTCTGGGTAGGCGGGCCGGGCTTGCTGAAGCCCTGCTTGCCAGCGCCGTCGCCGATCATGTGGTCCGGCAGCTTCTTCAGTGGGTTAACCAGATCGACCTTTCTGAACTCCACCGACGCCCACATGGGGCGTGCCATGACGTCCCGCCACTCCCCGCGATACAGCTCCCCCAACAGGTCCCGCGGGTAGATCGGCACCCTCGACCACTTCCCCCACTTCGCGTTCCAGCCCCTGATCGTGCACTTGAGCATCTCGCCTTTGTCTTCGCAGAAGTCACACTGGCGGGCGTCATAATTTTCCGCGCACGCGTGGCGGAGGTTTCCGCCGATCAGCGCGCAGGCCTTCGGATTTGTTCGTGAGTCGCAGATATAGAAATCCGAGGGGGCGCCTTTCCCTTGGGGTACCTCGTAGACGTAGTCGGCAGCGTGGTTGCCGTGGCTGTCGAATGCCCACGTGCCAGACATGCCTGTGGGAAAATCAATAATGAGAGAGTGTGTGTGTGTGTGTGGGCCTGCGTGCAGTCGAAAATGCGATCAAGAAACTGATCATTTAAGACATCTGGGTCAGCTTCCCGAAATGTCTTGAAATAAGCCTGGGCCAATCTCTTTCCTTGACGCTGGAAGGGCCAACGTGCTCAAGAGACCGGGCCAACTTTCCGGCGAGCTGGTCGAGAACCGCCGGCCCAGCTTTTCCGGGGATGCTCGACCGTGTTGCATCGTGCCCACACCTCCAGCGTCGTACATGTTCACGTGGACCCACAGAGGTCTGGAATCATGTTGCTCCCATCCTACTGAAGGACCGCATCCCAGAAATAATTTCGAGCACCCAGCGAAGTGTCGAAAGAGTGTCGAAACAGTGTCGAAAGAGTGTCGAAGCAGGGCCCGACACGTGAAAACCTTCGAGTTTTGGGGTGCGCTCGAAATTCTCTCTGGTGAGCAAGGCTAAAGTAGGTTGGAGCTCTGCCGTATTGCATCGTGCCCATGGCCGAGTGCGATGCTGCTCGGTTGCGCCAAGTGCTCGCGTGCTGGCAGTCAGAATACGTTCGGTTCCTCCTCCTCCTCCTCCTCCTCCTCCTCCTCCTCCTCCTCCTCCTCCTCCTCCAGCGTCGTACATTTTCACGCGGACCCTCAGAGGTCTGCTCTCCTCCCGGGCAGCTGCCCGACGCTCCGAGGCTCCCTGGCGAGGGGCCTCGGAGGCCGAGGCTGGCCAAACACCCTCCGCTGTGCGTGCTGCTCCGCGACGCGAGGAGGCCAGGGCTAGGAGGCAGCTGCTGGGAGGTCTTCGACGGACAAATGATCAAGGAGAGCTGCTCCCCATTCGGGGGCTGTTCCGCCAATTTAGGCAGCGGGTTAAGCGGGACCGAGCCGTCTTGAGCGGGGTTCAGCCGGACTGAGGACCAGGGCAAAGTCAGAATGGGAACTCCCAGGAGCTCCATCCGAAAATGCGGATGACGGCATGGGATGAGGAGAAATTTATGCTTGCGCCGAGAGCCCGCTCCTTCAACGTCCTGCCTGTGCCAAGACACGCGGGGCTCCCCTCGCAGTTGGCGGCGCACCCAAGGGAGAAGGCAGCGGGGGCGGGCCTTCTCAGAAGGCTGAGAAGGCTTCTGGCCTCCTGGGACGGCTTTCCCAAGCCCTCTCCCAAGCCAGAGATGACATCCCATTGCGGGCAATACTTATCTCCATATCCAGAGCGTCGTGGACTTGTTGGGAAGGGGTGCCGCAAGGCCGAGCCACACTGGATATGGATAAACATCGAGCCTCTAGGGGGCACATGTATCCATATCCAGTGCGCCTCGGGCTTCTTGGGAAGGGAGCCCGAAACTCCATACTGCAGTGGATAAAGACAAAAGTATTGTCCGCACCCATGAGGCCCGCGGGCTTCCGAGAGGCCCCGCCGCCTTCGGAGGGAGGCCCCGCCACCTCCCGAGGAGGCCTGCCTCCAATCTGCCTTCCCTCCCTTGGCGCGCCGCCGACCCCGGGCCCCACACAAGGCCTCGGTCGCAGCGACAAGCGGCTCCTCGCGGCCGAGCTGAAGCTGGCTACTCCAGATTTCGTAATAAAAGGGAGGGGGTCTGGACCCTCCAAGACAAGCCAGTTCAGGCCTCCCCCGTGGGAGAACCCTCCCAAACATCGTCCCCAGACCCCCCCAGGCCCTACAAGATAGCTTGGAAAAGACCCCGCCGAAATGAGACCCCCCTCCCTTTATTACGAAATCTGAAGTAAGCTGGGGCCCGGGGGCCCCCACTAGGGCCTGGCTCTCTCCAGGCAGGGAAGCGGCCCTCCTGCTGTTGCGCAGGGCGCCAGGCATCTTTGGGTCGCCCGAGAGGGCCGTGCACAGCCATGCCCCACACGGTGTTGGGCATGACCTCGTTCACGGCCTTCGGGCTCCTACCCACGAGGGCACTGAGAGCGCTGATGTCTCTGTCGGTGGCCTCGGGGTTCGCCAGCCCGTACGGCATGTCCAGCATCCTGGACAAGGAGAGGAGGGGAGGAGCGGCGAGGGGGGGCGATGACAGGAAGGGAAGCAGCAGGATGACAGAGGAAGAGGGACGAGAGGAGAGGAGGACGGAAGACGACGGGTGGGGAACCTGAGGAGGGAGGTAGACTAAGGCAGGAGGAGGGATGAGGAGCGACAAGGAGGGAGGATGAGGAGGATGAGGAGGCGGAGAGGGGGATGATGCGGACGGTCCAAGGGGGCAGGCGGGAGGCTGCTCGGGCTCATCAGGAACGCGAACACACCATACCGCCGCTCAGACTTTGCTTTCAGCTGCCCGTGCGTGCAGACACGGCGTGGAATGCGCAGGAAGGGGGTGGATCGTTGGCCCTCTCAGACCGGCACTGCGACAAGGACGAGGGCCCGAAGCGGAGGCACGCGCACCGACACGCGCATGAAGGTGCCCCTCCGCCCCAGTTCGCGAGGCCGCCCCCGTGCCACGCACGCTGGCGCGCAAGGGGGAAACAGCGACGGCAACGAGGACGACGAGGACGACCTCCGTGCCGCTGCCGAGGGGGGGGGGGGGCGGCCGACGGGCCGCCGAGGGCAAGACGAAGGCAATACGAGGATGGACTCGGATGAGCATGTCGGGCCCCCGTGAACGGGGGCTTGCCAGAGCAGGACGTCTGCACTCCCCCAGAAAAAACGAAACCACGATAAAAAGAAACATGCTCAATTGTTCTTTTCTGCCGCTGGATCTGGCGAGCAGGTCCTGGTTTGCAATATCTCCCGTTTCCTGGGCCCTGAAGACGAGTCGGGCATCTCTGAGAAGCGGCGGGGAAGGAAGATGTTCCAGGCACCGTGCGTGCAGACACGGCGTGGAATGCGCAGGAAGGGGGTGGATCGTTGGCCCTCTCAGACCGGCACTGCGACAAGGACGAGGGCCCGAAGCGGAGGCACGCGCACCGACACGCGCATGAAGGTGCCCCTCCGCCCCAGTTCGCGAGGCCGCCCCCGTGCCACGCACGCTGGCGCGCAAGGGGGAAACAGCGACGGCAACGAGGACGACGAGGACGACCTCCGTGCCGCTGCCGAGGGGGGGGGGGGCGGCCGACGGGCCGCCGAGGGCAAGACGAAGGCAATACGAGGATGGACTCGGATGAGCATGTCGGGCCCCCGTGAACGGGGGCTTGCCAGAGCAGGACGTCTGCACTCCCCCAGAAAAAACGAAACCACGATAAAAAGAAACATGCTCAATTGTTCTTTTCTGCCGCTGGATCTGGCGAGCAGGTCCTGGTTTGCAATATCTCCCGTTTCCTGGGCCCTGAAGACGAGTCGGGCATCTCTGAGAAGCGGCGGGGAAGGAAGATGTTCCAGGCACCGCGGCCGTTCCAACACATTCTGGGTCGGGCGCTGCTCAATGCGGGGCGATCAGTGCGGGGGCGGAGAAACGACCACCGTTCGTGCCCCGTTGAGGCCCCGGAGGGCCCCTGCAGGGCCCATACGGTGCGCGAAAGGCATACCTGGCGAATGCTCGAGGAGTAGCTCTGGGCTCCTCCCCTAAAGGTCACCGATGGTTCCCCAGAAATGTTTGGGCTGATGCGGATTCCGTGCGGTAGCAGCGTAACAACACATCACCCAAACAACACATGATTAACATACACCTAAACATCATGATTCCCATCATCTCCAATTACGTACCATGTATGACAATGTTCTACGGCGAAACAATATTTTACACGGTGTATGTACTACTATTACAGTATGCATTATATGTATGGCAATGTTATGATAGACGCGATCCTATCAAACACTTTACACCTGATATAGCGTATGCCGTAGTCTATATCAACAGAAGAAGTACGCTACTACGTGGGTGCGCCGCTGGATCTCCCCAAAGGGGGGGAGGGGAGGATTCCCCCCCCCCCCCCCTTCCCCGATCCGTCGTCGGGGACCCCCCCCCTCCCCCCCTTCCCCGATCCGTCGTCGGGGACCCCCCTCCGTCTCTCCCTTTTCCGGATCCATCGTCGGGGACCCCCCCCGTTTCAAAAGGGAGTGAAGGGGGTTCCGACCCCCTCCCACCCCCTCCCCCCCTTTGGCCGCACCCCCTCGCCTCCCCCCCTTTCGCCACGCCGCCACCTGACTCTGGAACCCGGCCCCCGCCACCCCTACCCCTAGTCCTCACCCTAACCCAGACCCCTAACCCTTAACCCCAACCACTAACCCCAGCCCCAAAGAGTACTCACTACTCATTACTCACTACCCACTACGGACTACTCGCTACTCGCTACTCACTTCTCACTGCCCCCTACTCACTACTCACGACTCACTACTCAGAATCCACTACTCACTACCTACCACCCACTACTCGCTACTCACTACTCCGTACTCACCACTCCCTCCCTACTCACTAGTCACTACTCAGTCCTCACTACCCACTACTCAATACTCACTACTAACTAAGCACTACTCACTACTCCCTATTCACTACTCACTAATCACTACTCATTACCCACTACCCACGAATCCACTACTCACTACTCACTACTCATTGCCCACAAATCACTACTCACTACCCACTACTCGCTACTCGCAGCTCCCTACTCCCTACACAATACTGCCTACACAGTACTCAGTACTCACTACTCGCTACTCCCATACTCGCTACTCAATATTCACTACTCACTCCCCGCTGCTCACTACTCACTACTCACTACTCCCTTCTCACTAGTCACTACATAATCTCTCGTCACTAGTCACAACTCACTCGTCACTAGTCACTAGTCACTACTCAGTACACACTAATCGCTACTCACTACCCACCTATTCGCTACCAACTTGTTACTACCCACTGCTCACTACCCCCTACTCCCTACTCACTACTAACTACTCGCTACTCCCTACTCGTTACTCACTAATCACTACCCACTACTCACTACTGACTACGCTCTACTCACTACACACTACTCACTACGCCCTACTCGCTCCTCATATTTACTGCTCGCTACTCCCTACTCGCTACTCACTACTCACTACCCAGTGCCACTACCCACTACTCTCAATTCACAACTACTCATTACTCACTACTGACTACTCACTACGCACTACGTACTGCTCAGTACTCACTACTCACTACTCACTACTCACTACTCGCCACCCACTACTCACTACTCACTACTCACTACTCACTACGCACAACGCACTACCCACTACTCTCTACGCACTAATCACTACTCGCCACCCACTACTCACTACCCACTACTCATTACTCCCTACTCCCTAGTAAGTACTCACTACTCGCTACTCGCTACTCACTACTCACTACTCACTACTCGCCACTCACTACTCACTTATCAGTACACACTACGCACTATTCACTACTCACTACTCCCCACTCCCTACTATCTACTCCCTACTCGCCACTCACTACCCACTACTCACTACCCAATACTCACTACTCACTACGCACTAACTCACTACTCACAACTCACCACTCCCTACACCCAACTCCGTACTACCTACACACCTTCTCCAATGCAAAGAAAAGCGATAGAGGCCCCCCCTCCGGCGCAAAGGGGGGAGGGGGGGGTCCGACCCCCCCCCCCCGTTTCCAGCGCCAAGGGGGGGAGGGGGGGGGGGGGGTCCGGACCCCACCCCCCCCTTCAAAGGAGGGGGGGGGGGGGGTGTTCGGGACCCCCTCCCCCCTAAAGAGGGGAAGGGTGGGGGGGTCTGGACCCCCCCCCCCCTTGAAGGGGGGGGAGGGGGGGGGGAGTTCTGGACCCCCCCACCCTTTAGTGTATTCAGGGAGATCCAGTGGCGCATTTTCCGCTACTACTATATATCTATGTGTAGATATAGGCGTACATTAGTTGTATAGAATATATGAATATAAGTTGTGAATTCCGTAATGGTACACAATACACATGATACACGTGACACGCACCTATTATGTCTGAAACGTTGGGTGTCTAATGCACTGTGCAATCCTACCGTAGCATTGACACTCCTGAATGTAAGCATGCGTACATGTACACGCCCGCTCCCTAGCAGGCCTCGTAGGGCGCAACAGTTGCGCGGATGGGTGGCCAGAGCAGGGGCGGAGGGAAGAGGGCGGCATGGGGCGGCGCCACTCCGGTTCCGACCCGCGGCCGCGCGCGCGCTGCGCGCGCCGCAGAGGCTCTGGCGAGGCCGCACGAGGATCGGAGAGACTGGCGGGGGAGTCGAGGGGAGGGCGACGGGGAGGGGGAATGAGGGGGTGGGAGGGCGGGCGGGGGCCAGGGCAGAAGTGGGAACGGGAGCAGGGCTGAGAGACAGGCGACGGGTGGCACTGTTAGTTGCTCCAGCAGGGTTCAAACTCGAGCCTCCTGGCTTCTCCTGGGGTGCGTCCTGGCCCAGATTCCGCGGGGAATCCAGCCGTGGCAACGAGGAGCCTCAGTGAGGCCCAGAAAGGTGGAACAACGTTCTACAAAACGTCCCCTTGCGGCAGAAGGCCCTGAACAACTTTACACACTTCACGACATGAAATCACGATGGGCCACCGACTTCGGGATCCGGGCTACGGGGGGGCCACGATGGGTCACCGATTTCGGGGGCCCAACATCCCTCGCAGGGCGTTCGATTAGGCATAGAACCCATGCGGACAATCCGCTAGGGAAGCCTGCACCTCGAGATGAAGTGCGCAGCTGCAGCTCAGGGTACCAAGTCGGGATGTAGCGGCTCCGCCACACGGCAAGTCTTCTCTGCCGAGGGATCCTCTACCAAATGCAGCAGCAACCGCGAAGCTGCTGATCATCACCAGGGCTGCTCAAGGAACCCCTCGATCCTTGAAGCTCGACCTCGATGCCACCCCCTTGAATCAACTACACCAACCCAATCAATGGATGGTTTTCGCTGAGGAGATCGACCGGGAACCCCAGAGCCCGGGAACCCAGAACCCACCGAAAACGGTCCGGAACCAATAACCGGGAACCCGGGAACCCGGGAACCCGGGAACCCGGAACCGGGAACCCGGGAACCCAGCCTGCCGCCACGATCGGCGGGGAACTCTCGCCAGCTCTTCCCCAACCTCCGCTATAGGACCCCTTCAGCGCAAGCACTGCTTGAGGAGAAGAGAAAACCCAGACCCCCGACGTCATGATTTTTTCATGACGTCGACCCCAAAAGGTCTGGACCCATTCCCCATGACCGGTTTTTCGTCCTGAGTCGTTTCTTGACGGTCCCGAGGGCCGGTAAGGGCCCCCAGAGTCCAAAAATAATGAAAAACCTCCCGTCGTGATTTTTTCATGACTCGAGGGGGTCTGGGAAGGCTGCGGTCCTTGCGGAGCAGTTCGCGGGCGGAGAACCCGCGCCGGCCGAGCCCTCGCCCACGAGCGCGCTCGCCGCGTTCGCCGCGGTGGCCAGCGCCGAGAGGCCGCCGGCCACGCCCCCGTCGCCCTCGCCTGTGCGGGGGAGGGGGGCTTCGGGCGCGGGCTGGCCGAGCCCTGGGGGGCAGCTCCTGGGAGGCATTCGCGGGCAGGAAGGGGGCGGGGAGGGAGGGGGAGAGCGGAGGAGGACCGGTGCAGAGCCAAGGCGCATCGGCGATGCTGCACGCAACCATGCCTCCAAGTTCCCTCTTCAGAGGTCCCTGGAAGGATTTGCTCTCACTGCTGGAACAACGCCACAGATGAGTATAACTGTCGCGTCCAACCGTCGCGTCCTGACAGTCCTCAATCGTGCCAGAACAGAGATCCTGGGATCTCAACACCGCGAGTTGAAAAGACTGTTCAGTCTTGACCCGTCCTGACAAGCCTGAATCCTGCAGAACACAATTCTCGGGAATTGGGCCGTCCAGATCCATGAGACAGTTGCACCCTCTTGAAACAAATGCGCGCGGCGTTAATGCGCGAGCCACATGTTGAAAAGGAACCGCCCTCCATCCTTACAACAAATGCAAGCATTGAATACGAATGCGCGCGGTGCCACAGCGATAGCCACATGTTGAAAACCACCCGCCCTCCATCAACGAAACCGTTGCGAACTTTCTGAACGAGTGTGCACGGCGCTAACGCGAGAACGACGTTTAGAGCATGACCCACCTTCAATATGTGAAGAAGCTGTAAGCTCTCAAAATGAATGAGCGCGACGCTGAAGCGAGAACAACTTTTTGAAAACCACCCGCCCTCCATCCGTAAAACGGTTGCGAATTGTAAGCTGCAAGATCATAAGAGGCGAAGAAATCTTAGGCGAAACGCCCGGCCCGCCCTACCAGCACCTCTGGGGGTACGACAGGGAGGCGTGAGGAGGAGTGAGGAGTGAGGAGGAGAAGGAGGAGGAGAAGGAGGAGGACGAGGAGGAGGAGGAACGATTAACGGCTATTAGTAGTCACGGTGTGGAGGCCATTCTCCGGGATTAAGTCCAATGTTGGCCAAGATTAGGCGGAAAGCACTGGGACCATTGGGCCAGAGGCCGACAAAGGACATGTCAGCGCCGATGCTGAATCAAACTTCCTAAGGGTTGCATCCAAACGACCCCTTCAACGACGAGCCCCTTCTGCGACGAGGGTAAGGGGGGGTACCAGCCGCGTGTGTACCTCTGGTGCCCGTACCTCCGACGTCGTGCCTTGTCGCAGCGTGGACCCCAGGAGGTCTAAACCTCTTCCCCTGTCACCGGCCCTCCATCATCCCGATCGGCTTCCTACGGCCCCGGGGCCGCCTGGGAGGGCCCTCGGAACCAGGGGCGGGGCAAGGACCTCCCGCCGTCGGGACTGCCGCACGGCGAGCGGAGGTCTGGGCCTTTGCAGCTCCCCCGCTTGCCGTCGCTCGGACGTCCACTTCCCGTTCACTTGTCGATGTCTTGCGTGCTTTTTTTGCTCGATGGTCCAGGATGGTCCTCGATTGGTTCTCGCCGAGAAAAAAATGCACACGTCCGAGCGATGCCAAGCCCAGGTGTCCGCCTTCCGGCTCTGGCTCGCAGGGGGGCTTCGGGCGCTGGAACCTCAGGTCGTCGGGGTCGGGCTCCGAGCCGAACTTCGGGGCGCGCGCGCACGTGGCGTGGACCCGGTTGCACGACTCCTCCTCGACGGGGGGGACGAGCCGCGGGTGCGATGAGATCAGGTGGACCGAGGAGGAACAGGATCGATGATCGATATTGAAGTTGTGCTGTGGCTTCCTCCTGCTCTTGAACATCCGGAGGCCTCCAGAGGTGCTCAGGAGAGATCTCCCGAGACTGCTGGAGACCTCCTGAGGCCCTGGGAGGAAAGCGGCGCACACAAGCGTAACTTGTCCCTCCTCTCCTCTCCTCTCCCTCCTCCCCATTCTCCCCTCTCCTCATGCTCCTCGCCCTCCTCCCCCTCCCAGGGCCTCCTCCCCGTCAGCGCCGCCGTTGACTACCGGAGCACCTCAACCCAACCCGAAGACCCGAATTTGGGGTTGGGGGGGGTGTACGGGTTCCATAATGTTTTTTCGATGTTCCCCGACCCCCCCCCTCCCACTGGAAATAGAAGGCAAATTGAGGCTTTCGGGTTGGGTTGGGGTGGTTCGGTAGGCAGTGACCGTCGTCACTGTCGGCGCCGTCGCCATCGCCACCGTCGCCACCGTCGCCGGCGTCGCCGTCATCGCCGCCGTCATCGTCGCCGCAGTCGCCGCCGTCGTCATCGCCGCCGCCGCCGCCGCCGCCGTCGCCGTCGCCGTCGCCGTCGCCGCCGCCGTCGTCGTCGTCGCCGTCGCCGTCGTCACCGCAGCCGTGTGTCGCCGCCTGCCGCCGTCATCGTCGCCGTCCTCCTCCCCGCGGCACGGGATACCGTCCGGGCCCTGCCACAGGCGCGGCAGCGCGCACCTGGCGAAGGACGTGGCGGCGCGCGAGGGTGGGCCCTGCAGCGCGAGGGCGGCGAGCGACGAGGCGGTAGGGGCGCCAGCGGCCGACAGCGGCATGGCGACAGGGGGGGGGGGGAGGGCGAGGGAGAGGAGGCGGGAGGAGACGGACGGGAGGTGGAGGGGAGGGGGAGGCGCGAGGAGCGGGATTTGTGCTTTTGAGGCCGGCCCTCCTTCAGCCTCAGGTGCCTCGCACAGACGGCGACTCTGAGCGAGGAACTGGACGACGAGCAATGCACGGGCGGGGCGAGGAGTTGGAGGGGAGGGGGAGGGACAAGTCGGAGGAGGAGGAGAACTCTTGGGAAGGTTTGCAGCGTGAGGAGTGTGGGAGGGGGGGGGTCAGATTGCATGGGGGAGGGGTCATGTCTAAAAAACGTAAACAAATCAGGAAGGCAAGGGAAAGTAATGGTTCCGGGCGCTTCAGGGCACATGTAGTGATGAAGTAGGCGGAGCAATTCGGATTGCTGGGGCGACATCCCCGCGACCACCCTGGCACCCCGCGGTCCAGGACTAGTCACTACGCGCCCCCTTCTGGCGTCGAGCCACCTGGTCCGACGCCAGAAAGGGAGCACCCAGGCGTACCCATCGGAACAAAGACATACCGCCGGATGTTTAGGGCTTCCTTCCTGTGCCGACGGCGGGTCCCGCGGGGGCGAGGCCTCGGAGGGAGCCTCGTGGACGGCCTCCAAACCACATCACCTCATCGCCCTGCCGAGGGGGGAAAGGGATGGGCCACGGGAGGGATGCCTACCCCGACCGGCCCGGGCTTGAAACTGCCCCGACACGCAACACGCGACACGCAGCGTATTGGAACGGAGCTCAACACGTAGATTGAACTCATAGGTCCGACGCGATGCGTTCGCCAACACGTGGGCCGATGCGCTGAGCCAACACGCGGCGGGCTGACACAGACGTCTTGAGCACGGCACGTTTTGCGTATCAGAACGGGAGTATCGAGGCAGCCAAGGCCAGGGTACATGCCTCCCCTCTCGACAACACGGCGCTGGGCATGATGGGGGGCCAGATTCGGGTCGAGCGAACGGGGGGGATAGCTGGGTGGGGCCGAAGCCAGCTGCATGCAGCAGATTTCGTAACCCCCCCTTTCCCTATCCCCCCCTTTCGTCCGGCCCGACAGATGGAGGGCGCCACAATGAGGCGTGGGATGTAGCCTGGCAGGCCGACCCTTCAGGGGGCACGTGCGGGGGGGACCAGCTCGAGGGGGGAAGCATCGAACCGGAAACGGCGACAAGGCGCGAACGAAACGGTGTTTTCCGTTTTAGTTTTGTTCCCAACCATCCTGTGGTGTTGGGTTCTCTTTTTGAAGAGACGGTGCCCCGCGTCCTCCTCCTCTCCTCTGCTCTCATCCTCCTCCTCCCGCTCCTCCCTCTTCCCGTCACCCCCCTCACTCTGGCACCCCTTGGCCCCATAGGGAGCTCCACCGAAGGCCCCAGTGGCAGGATTCGCATGCCGCCCCCCCTCCACTTTGGCACAAACCCCACAAGCTTCGTGCCCCCACAGGGAGCTCCACCAAAGGCCCCAATGGCAAAGTTCGCATGGCGCCGCCGCGCCCATTCCGGCACACCTCTCACACGCTTCGTGGCCCCATAGGGAGCTCCACCGAATGCCCCAACGGCATGATTCGCATGCCGCCCCCCCCTCCACTTTGACACACACCCCACAAGTTTCGTGGCCCCAAAGGGAGCTCCACCGAAGGCCGCAGTGGCATGATTCGCATGCCGCCCCCCCTCCACCTTGGCAAACCCCTCACAATATGCTCTCATTGTACTCAAGGAGAGCCACATCCCGCAAATAATTCCAAGCACCCAGAAAAATACCGAAACAGTGTCGAACGAGTATCGCCTCCCAGGGCCCCACACGTGAACACCCTCAGGTTTCGGTATTTTCTTGGTGCTCGAAAATATCTCTGGTGATCAACGCTAAAATTCGCCGGCCCAACGGGCCAGGGCGTGCTAAGATCTCCGGTACCTGGGTAACAGTATTTCTAGTTCGCGCGCGCGGGGCGGCCCCTGGGGGTCCCCGGACGAAAAGTACCCCGGCAAGGTCCCGGCAAGTCCCCGGCAAGGTCCCGGCAAGGTCGGGCCAGAGATGCCGGAGTTCTGTTTCGGAGTCCAAGAGGGCTCCAGATCGGTCCAAGAGGGCCCCGAGAAGCTTTCTAGACGGTCCAAGAGAGGCCCGAGACGGCCAAAGATCGCCCGAAGACGCCCCAGATGGCCCCAAGACAGCCCAAGAGGCCTCCAAGACGCTCCAAGGGCCTTCCAAGAGGCCTCCGAAGAGGGCCCCAAGTTGCCAAAATCGTTGATTTTCATTGGTTTTTTCGATGTTTTTTTGCGTTCTGGCCTTTTCGCTTCCGGACGCTCCAAGAGGGCCCAAGAGGCCTTCAAGACTGCTCCAAGACGGCCCACGAGGCTCCCAAGACGGCCCCGGAGCGGCCCAAGAGCGCCCCCCAGACGGCCCAAGTGCTGCCCAAGGCGGACCAAGAGGCCCCAAGACGGGCCCAAGAGGGGCTCAAGAAGGGAACCGAGAACTGAAAAATCGAGCCCTCCGCCCCAGAAGGCGCCCAGGACCCCGAAAGAGGCCCCAAGAGACTCTCCAAGACACCCCCAAGACGCCCCAATAAGCTCCCGTGAGGCCCCAAGAGGACCAACAACGTCAGGCCCCAGGCCCCAAGAGGACCAACAAATACCGCCAAGAGCCCGCCGAAAGCCCCCCAAGAGACCGTCACGAGAGCTCAGGAGGCCCCCTGGAGGCCTCCCGAGTTCTCCAAGAGGCCTAAAAAGAGGCGCCAAGAGGCCCCAAACGGCCCCACCGAGGCTCCAAGAGGCCACGAACGCGCAAGCAAACGCCTGCGATGGCACAATACGGGCCGGCGGAATGAGCGAAGCGATTAATTAAATAAGTTGGAGCATCATAACCCGCATACGTTTCGTGGCCCCATGGTGAGCTCCACCGAAGGACCCCGTGGCGGTGTTCGCATGCGTTTCCCCCACCCAGTACAGCGCCTCGTGGACCCATAGGGAGCCCCACCGGAGGCCCCAGTGGTGGTGTTCGATGCGTTCCCCCCACCCAGCACAGCGCTTCCTGGCCCCATAAGGAGCTCCACCGACGGCCCCAGTAGCGGCGTCCGCATGCGCTCCCCCCGCCCAGTACAATGTTTCGTGGCCCCATGAGGGAGCTCCACTGAAGGCCTCGGTGGCGGTGTTCACAAGCGTTCCCCCCGCCCAGTACAGCGCTTCGTGGCCACATCGGGAGCTCCACCGAAGGTCTCATTGGCGGTGTTCGCATGCGTTCCCCCCGCCCTGTACAACCCTTCGTGGCCCCATGGGAAACTCCACCGGAGGCCTCGGTGGCGGTGTTCGTAGGCGCTTCCCTCACCCAGTACAGCGCTTCGTGGCCCCCATAAGAAGCTCCACCGACGGCCCCAGTGGCGACGTTCGCATGGCCGCCCCGCTGCATTTCGGCACACCGTCGCACGCTTCGTGGCACCATATGGAGGGCCACCGAAGGCTCCAATGGCTGCGCCCGCATGCGTCCCGGGCCCATTTCGGCACACCTTTTACCCGTTTCGTGGCCCCATAAAGAAATCCACCGAAGGCGATGCCCACAACGGCGATACTCCCAACTGCATTTGCTTGGGCCTTTCGCCAGGATAATGCGTGTTATCCCTCGTTTTGTGTTTCGCCCCGCCTGTCCCACAACGAGATCAAAGCGAACGCGCTTCACGAAATCGCCTAAACACCGGTTAGCTCGCGCCCTGATCGGCGATGCGTCGCCGACAGATCGGCGAAGGCCTCCGATAACGAATCCACGCGCTCCTGCGCTGCGTGGGCTATCAGGCTCCTACCGGCGCTCCGCAGGCAAATCGGGGCCGATGCGCCCCCCTGAGCGCATCCCCCGTTGCGCTGCCCCTGAATATCTGGACGGAGGTGAGGGAAGAGGAGCAGGAGGAGGCGGAGGAGGTGAGGGAGGAGGAGGAGGAGGAGGAGGAGGAGGAGGAGAACAAGGAGGAGGAGGAGAACAAGGAGGAGGAGGAGGAGAAGGAGGAGGAGGAGGAGACGCAGAATTAAGCTATCAAGGGGGGCGGCCCCACACAGTCGGGGACAGGGGGGGCGACCCCTCAGGGGCGGCCTGCTCCAGCGAGGCTGTCTCATCCCAGGAAGAGCCGAAACAGATCGACCCCCGCTCGGCATACGGCGGCCTGGGGTCCCTGGGGCCCCGCGGAGGAATGTTTGGAAGGGCGTCCTGATTCGCCGAGGTGGCGGTCAGCTTGGTGCGGCACTCGCTAGCTGCTGGCAGGAACACGCGGTATCTGGCAACAAGGGCGCCCAAGGTGTAATTGCCCCTCCCAACCAAACCCAAATCACCCCCATATCGTCGGAAGGCGCTCAAGGCGCATCACAACGCAGCAGGAGGGAAAAAGGCGAGAGGAGGCGTCCAAGAGGGAGAGGGCACAGGGCCACTCGTTTCGGGCGCCGACCGTGGGGGGGGGCACCCCTCGCAGCACCAAAGGTATGCTGCACCCGGGGAAAAAAAACCCTACCAGAAAAAAAGGGCTGCCCTTCTCGCCAGCGGGAGGCTGGCAAACCTCGCGGGCTGGGAGCCCGGGCATGACTTCCAGGGGGACCGTGGTGAGACATTCCAGCGCATCACGGTATTGGAGTTCAGCTTTGCTGATATGCGCCTGCTGAGAGGCGGGCGGCAGAGCGGCCCATCTCGAGGGCAAGGGAGGTACATCCTTCGTTCACCCACGTTTGCTGCTCCGTCGCACGGAAAAGGTTCGGCGCCCATCTTGGCTAAACTGCCCGCGTGGCCATTGCCACGCCACTACGCGTCGGTGATCCCGCCCTCCCTCATGGCCGCCTCTCTCTGGCGGGCCGCCACCTTCGCAAACAGAACTCTTTCGAATCTGTCGGCCACCCGGGACCACCAATGGCAGCGCACCTGGGCCTCAGTGACAGACGCTGGCAGTTTGGCCCAAACTGGAACCGCCGCCCTACAACCGACGCCGATCTCCACCAGGGCTGAACCTAAACGGTGTTTTC